AATTCCCAGGAGTGCTATTTCCAGGCCCCCACTCTTTTTTCAGCCCTCCACCTGGGACAGGCTGGCATCTGGCACAGAGCTGGGAAGACCCACAAGCTCCCGGTGGGGGTGGAAGGGCATTCCAGGCAGAGGGCACAGCAGGGAGAAGGGCCTGGAACAGGGAGTATGCCTGGCAGGGTCCTGAACAAGGAGGTGTCCCCGGAGACCTGAGCCCCTAGGGCCAGGGGGGATGGTGGCCTCTCTCCAGGCCTGGAAGAGACTGTGGCTTTGTGGGAACACAGGGGACACAGGAACACATGAAAGGTGGTGCTATTTTCCTAAGTAATTGTTGTTATTCCTTCAGCAGGGTCTACGGTTTACGGAAGCTGAGGGGCCCTGGCAGCGGGGGTACCTATGCACCTACGTAGAGACAGGGACAACTGTGAATGACAAGTTCTGTCCAAACTCAGGTGTAGATGAGGAAACTGAGGCCCAGAAAGGAACAGGCATCCAGCTAGTCAGATGCTTAGCGTGGGCTCCACACGGAGCTCTCAGACTCTGAAACCGAGCCGGCCACGGTCGCCCTGCAGGCAGAAGGGCCCAGATCCCTCCGGGCTAGGGATGCACTCTCACAACACCCAGCACCGGGCCCTCAAGACACCACCCGGCAGGCCGCAGAGGCCACGCGGGCTGCCACGCGAACCTGAGGATCAGATGCCACAACGCCCCCTCCCCGCCCCGCGCGGCCTCCCGCGCTGGGAGAGCGCTGGGAGAGCTCCGTCTCCCTCCGTGCTGCGGGAAGTGGGGGCGATGGCGGAGGCGGCGGAGGGCGACGTGGGGCCGGCGATCTCGGACGCGGGTGCTGCTCCCCCACCTCCCCCCAGGTCTGCATTCCCAGGGTTCCTGGGAAAGGAGCATCTGCAGAAAACAGCCCAGCCCCGAACAGCCTTGTGGAAGGGGTCCTCCAGTGGGGCTTGTGGTGTGCTCTGCCGGGCGGACCGCACCCCCGTGGCAGCGTGCGGCATCAGGCCCTCTTCAGCCTGCAAAGGCACCTGTCACCCCGAGTGTTCCCCAGGTGTAGAATGGGTCCAGTCCCCTCTTTACTGATGGGGGACCTGGGGCTGCCCGGAGCCTCCCACGCTTCCTCAGGGAGGCCCAACCCTTAAGCCCCAGCTGGGCACTGGCTGCTGCAGCTCGCCTTCTGATCTTTGAAGTGCATATGGTGAGGGTTACTTGTTCCAGGGTGAATACAAAAGGGTGCCCAGTGCCACACAGACTGGTGCAGGGACTCTCAGCAAGCAGAGCAGAGCCGCTAGTGGGGGAAGTCTCTTGTGTCCGTTATGCAGCTCTGGGGGCAGGAGGAGGCCTGGGAGGAGGGTGGGCATCTACTGTGTGCAGCCCTCAGCCTCCATGCTGTAACTGCCAGAGTTACTGCTGGGGAGGTGGGCCGTGGAGGAGGGGTTCCCTGTGTTTGACATGCAGTTTGATCCAGTCTCTGTTTCCCAGCTGGGCAGAGGGAGGTTCAGAGAGGGTGCTGGCTTCTAGAGGCCAGTCAGCTCAGGCGGGCCCCATGAGGCCAGAAGCGAGGTCCCCCAGGGGCAGGAAGCTGGGGCATGGCCTGAGGGGCAGAAGGCTCACCTGTGCCCTGGGCCACCTTCGGGCTGTCAGTCTTTCCTCACAGCCCCAGGACTCCGTGTAGGGATGGGTCCCTAAAACCTACCCCCTCACTCCTGAGCGGGCCTCTTTGTGGTCACACCCACCCTCGGCCTCTACCCCCTGGTGTCCCCAGTGTCTCCATCTCCAGGGATTTGTCAAGACTGTGCTGTAGGGAGATCCATACGGTGGGCAACCCACCCAGAAGCCTTTGCCACTGAGCCTGATTCCCTGGAAATGCAGCTGAGTCATGGCCCTATCAGCAGTTTGTTCTTTTCGTTATTACCCGATGAGCTTTTGAAGAACAAGGCTTACCAACCACAGCTTACATCAAGGTTTCCTGAGAACTTAAGAAATTAAATTTAGAAAATATACCATTTCCTGGTGCCAATTTTGTACACACTCTTCCAGACAGCAGACACAGAGGGACACTGCCCTGTTTTCGTCAGGTCAGGAGGATATTGGTGTCACCCCAGCCACAGGCATTACAGGACAGTAGACTGAAAATAGAAATACCATTTGACCCAGGAATTCCACTCCTAGGAATTTACCCAAAGGAAGCAAGATCTCAGATGCAGAAAGACATATGCACCCCTATGTTTACTGCAGCACTATTTACAATACCCAAGATACAGAAGCAATCTAAGTGACCATCAGTAGATGAATGGATAAAGAAGATGTGGTACATATACACAATGGAACACTACTCAGCCATAAGAAACAAATCCTACCATTTGCAACAACATGGATGGAGCTGGAGGATAATATGCTCAGTGAAATAAGCCAGGGGGAGAAAGACAAGTACCAAATGACTTCACTCATTTGTGGAGTATAAGAACAAAGCAAAATCTGAAGGAACAAAACAGTGGCAGACTCACAGAACCTAAGAATGGACTAGTAGTTACCAAAAGAAAGGGGCTGGTGGATGGGAAGGGAGGGAGAACGGGATTAAGGGGTATTATTATTAGCACACATAATATAGGGTGGCACAGGGAAGGCAGTATAGCAGAGCGAAGACAAGTAGTGGTGACTATAGCATCTTACCATGCTGATGGACAGTGACTGCAATGGGGTATGTGGGGGGGACTTGACAATAGGGAAGAATGTAGTAACCACAGTATTGCTCATGTGAAACCTGAGCATAAGATTGTGTATCAATGATACCTTAATAAAAAAAAAAAGAAAAAACTGTCCAACCTTCAAAGAGATAATAGTAAACATTTTGCTCGTAACTAGAAAGCTCCAAAATACAAGGGGCAAACTGAAATAATTGAAAAGAGACCCCTCAGTAATAGTGGATGACTTCAGTATTCAATTTTCAACAGGGGATAGAATCTGTTATTTCTTGGTTCTGTGCGGTGGGCAGAGTAGGGGCTGTGACCCATATTTATGCTTCGGGGCACTGAATTTAGATTCACTTGCCCAGAATCACATACTGAGGGGTGATGGATGTGAGGGAGGAGATACAGATGGTTCCCTGGGACAGAAAGCCCTGCACGCTTGGACATGAGACCACGCCCTGGGCACCTAGACCAAGCCTCTCCTCGCGCCCTTCCCCACATCCTTCTATCGCAGGGCTGCCACGGGGGGACAGCTGGTGCCCTGAGGAGGGGCCTGGCCTGAGAATGGCTCAAATTCTGATCCAACACCCGGCTCCAGGTTTCAATTCCTGACCCCAAAATGCAGTGCCCTTCCCCCAAATGAACACCTCCTGATGGATGGGGAGGGGGTCCAAACAGACGTCCCTCCCCCCATTACCTGCCCCGCCTAGCATTTGATTCTAACAACTGCCTTGCTGTGATCTCCCAGTGGTCAGGTGACCACCCTGAATGACCCCGAGTCTGCCAGACTCCCAACTGCCTCAGAAGCCAGGACATTCCAAACCAACTGCCCACATGACAGTTTCCCTGAGGATTAGCTTCCTCTTCAACTGACCACCACGGAGGATGAGCAGTGACTGTTACTTACCTGGGGGAGGGTCTGCCCGGCTAGTGTTCCTGCAGCTTAAGGAAAGAGGTCCACAAGCCCCTGGGGTCTCACTGACTACAGATCCAACCACAAGAGGCCCGGCTGGGAGTGGGCGGCGGGCAGAGCCCTGAGTGGGAGCCCTGCCTACTCCTTCCCACCAAGGTGCAAGCCTGCTGGGCAACTACAGTCATTACTCTTGAATCTGCTCAGTGACTTTCTGCTTACAGAATCTCCTCGTTAATGGAGCATGCCTGTCCCAGAAGGAACAAGAGTCTCAGCCTCCCAGAGTGCTCCAGCTCTCCCTGGTGTCCAGCCCTATTAATCACCAAAGCCCAGTGCAACATGGACTCATGTTCCCGGAGCCCATCTCCAGGGCCAGATGCTCAGGATTCCTTATGTCCTCCCTGCTCGGTGGCTGGGATGGGAGAAGGGCTTGGCTCCCGATCGATCACAGCTCTGCCCATTTATCCTCAGTGTGGGCTTCCCTTCTTCCCCAGGTGTAGGAGGTCTGTTCTTCAGTCTTCAGGTCATGGTCAGGGTGAGCTGTATTTGTCGTAATTGCTTCCCTTGTGTGTACTTTGTGAGGAGTTTCCACCTTGCCTTCCTACTCTGTAAATGCGTTTTTTACTTCTGTGGTTGTGGCATTAGTGATTGACCAGGTAAAGTATCCACACATGGAAAAAACATACGCTGTAGCATTTTTGTCTTAAGTGTGAGGCACTGACTAAACTAGAATAATAATTCTTGAATCAGTTTAGATCAATGAATTTGTACAGTACCTTGAACTGATTTGTTCCTGGTAGGTAGTCTCCTGCCTCGGCAGATGCCAGTTGTTCTCTTTCAGAGGTGGAGGCGGTTAGTACACCTCCTAAGCCTCTCAGAAATGCATTTTTTCATATTCTGGAGACAAGATCCTGGAAAAAGCATTACAGTAGAGAGAGCATTACTATGGTGTCAGAAGACCATAGTAAAACAAGTGAGAAGTTACTCATAGTTCAAACTTTTCATCCCATTCATCAGTTGCCTGGGAGAGCCACCTGACTGGGAATGAACTTTAGGAAGATCTTGCAGCTTGATGTGTACTTAAAACACCCAACAGAGTGTGAACTGATCCAGCTACTATGGAAAACAATATGGGAGATTCCTCAAAATATTAAGAAAACTACCATTTGATCCGGCAATTCCACTTTTGGGTAGATACCCAAAAGCACTGGAATCTACATCTCACAATGACCCCTGCCCTCCCACGCACACTGCAGCACTAGTCACAGTCGCCAAACATGGGGACAATCTAAGTGTCCAGGGACAGTGAAATGGATACAGAAAATGTGGTATAGATCTACAACGGGATATTATTTGGCCTTAAAAAAGGAGAAGAGAGAAATTACATGTAGATTGTTGATCGGTTCTTCGGAGTCCTCCACATACTCGAAATAGTGTTCAGTGGTATTGACAGGAAGGCCTTGGGAAAGAAAAAGCAGAGTCAGGCCAGAGGTGAGAACCCGGGCCCCACAGCTCACGAGACGGTGAGGCCCAACCCCAGGCTGAGCTCCGTCCCCAGCTCTGCATCCCTGCCGGGCTTCAGTCGCCTCGCCCCTGCCATGTGGAGTAGGTCTCTGATCTCCAGGCCAGTCCCAGCCCTCAGATTCCATAAGGGACAACGAAGGAAGGCCCGTGTCCCCCTGTCCCCCAAGAGGCCGTCACTGTGGCCCTGAATCTCTGGGGCTGAAGTGGCCTCCCACCCTTCTTCCCTCCCCTGCTGCCTTCCTTCCCCACCTCTGCTGATTGGTGCTCATTTCCTTGCTCCTTGTCAGCCTCCACAGGCCATATTGCCGTAGAATGAGGTCACACTGGAGGAAACCCCGCGATGCACCCCACCTTCTCCAGTTCATCCTACATGGGGAGCGCCTGTAGGGTGTGCTGGGCCTGTGGGAGACCCCACATATCTAGTGACTGTCTTGTGTCTGGAATGACCCTAGGTTCTTGACGGACATTTAAACCTCGTAACCCCAAATATTTTTTGAAAATGAAACACAAGATTGGAGGTAAAGGACCTTGTCCAAATAGCCCTAGTCTGTGTGTGAACAACAGGTGTCCTATAGCCAACGTGGTGGCGCAGGCACAGGGTACCCACCTGGGTTGGTGCTGGGCCCCGGAAAGACCCGGAGAGAGGGGCCTCTGGAGGCCTGAGGGAAGTTACGGGAGTGGGGGTATGGCCGGGGTCTGGGGCAGGGCAGTACTGTGTGGCCAGAACACTGGGATCTGAGAGGAGCAGTGGCCCCCTGCCCTGCTGCCCCAGGCTCTGTCCTGGGCCTGGGCACCTGAGGCCAGGTCAACGGGCCAGGAGAGCAGGTGTGCTGCAGCCTAGCAGCCCTTCCCACAGCCTTCTAGCATCCCTGAAGACATGTAGGCCCCAGGGCGAGTGCGTCTGTCCCAGGGAAACAGGCACCAGGTGGAATGTGGGGCAGGGGTGGAGAAACGTGCCCCAGGATGTATGTACTCCCACGTGACTTCTACACAAGGATCCAGGAGCACGTGCAGGGGACTGAGAGGAAATGTTGTCTCTGCCACCAGCCCTGGGAGCACCCTTTTGATCAGGAACCTGAGGAGAGGACAGGAAGCTGCCCACTGGGTGCTGCAAGTGCAGGGGGAGGGTCTGCTTCCCACCCTCCTGGCGCCCATGGGAGAACTTGCCTGCAGGCTGAAGGGCAGGTGACAGAGCTGTGTCCCGCCAGGGTGCCCTCACCACAGAGGAACACAAAACCCAGCAGCCTCCTGCTCTGTTCCCACCACATGCTACCCCAGGACCAAAGGCTTTTGTGCTCTGCAGAGGCACAGCCAATAAGCCCTGGCCTAGGAAAGATCATCTTTAAGTAAAAAAGCAAGAAAAGCTGATTATACGCACAGCACTCTCAGAACCCAAGGCACAGTACCTCTGCTATTGGGTATTTAAAATACAAGAACAAAATGCTCCTCCACACGTGTTTCCTTTGCCTTTCTCATACCACAATTCCCATCCCCAGTCTCCAGAGCTGCAGGTGGAACCCCCCTCTCATTGGTTCTGGCCCGAGGTAGCTCCCTACCTGGACAGTCCTCCTCGTCAGGGCTGCTGCTGAGAAAGCTCTCCACATCGCAGTCTTTAAAGACACAAACAGGAAGGTTATGAGAGAAAGGGGCTCCCGCGCTTCCTCCTCCTGTTGGGGCCACGCCGGCTCACAGCATCGCCCTGCTCTCTCCCTGGGTCCTCTCTTCCCTGGGCTCCGTGGGGTCAGAGCCCTTCAACAAGACACTCATCACAGACGCAAAGCTTCAGATGAGAGCCAGGCTCCCCCTTCAACTTGTCCCACCAGGGAAATTGTATGTATCATCTGTAATGTATACTGTCAGATTTTCCACTAAATTTGATTGGACAATGTTAAAAACACACAGGCCCAACATGGTGTGACTTCTGCCAGGTCAAGTCACCAAACCAGAGCTCTTTACCGAACTCGATGGCAATTTCAACCTTCCCCCAAAATGTAGTTAGTAATTTTCTGGTCAGTACCAATAAGATAATGTCCCATGTGCCCTCTCAATCCCCCAAAGGAATCCACCCAATAGAATACTTTTGTCCCCAGATGAAGGTGTCCTCACCTGAAATAGTCCTTTTTTACTTTTTATAACTTCCTATCCCACCTTTAAAAACCTCTCCCTATCCGTAGCCCTTGGGAACATCTCTGTAGTTGCTACAAGGGATGCTGCCCAATTCATGAATCGCTTAATGAAGCCAATTAGGTCTTAAATTTACTTGGGTGAATTTTGTTTTTTAACAAAAGGAAAGATATCTAGAAAGCAACATTTCTACCTCGGAGAGAGCAGCAGTCTCTTCCTCAGCAACAGGCACGGTCTCCTCTGCCTGGTCCACAGGAAGGACCTCGGTTACTGCGTTAAGGGATAAGAAGAAAGACACAGAGTAGCTGTCAGTCCATTGGTGGTGGTGCTCAAGAATGACTCAGGGAGGGATGCTTGATATGGACATGGGGCCAGAAAGTACAGAAGCAGGTGGTTACCAAGCATGACTGAACCACTGCTATGGGCCACCCTTGCCAATATGGCTGAAAAATGGGGATTTTTTTTTTTTAAGAAAGCTAATGCTAGCATTTTCAGTGCAGGTGACAGAGCTGTGTCCCGCCAGAGTGCTTTCCTCACCGAGGAACACCCAGCCCAGCAGCCTCCTGCTCTGCTCCCACCACCTGCTACCCCAGGAACAGAGGCTTTGGTGGTCTGCAGAGGCACAGCCAACAAGCCCTGACCTAGGAAAGATCGTCTTTAACTAAGAAAGCAAGAAAAGCTGATTATACGCACAGCACTCTCAAAACGCAAAGTCATAGTACCTCTGCTATTGGGTATTTAAAATACAAGAACAAAATGCTCCTCCACACGTGTTTCCTTTGCCTTTCTCATACCACAATTCCCATCCCCAGTCTCCAGAGCTGCAGGTGGAACCCCCCTCTCATTGGTTCTGGCCTGAGGTAGCTCCCTACCTGGACAGTCCTCCTCGTGAGGGCTGCTGCTGAGAAAGCTCTCCACATCGCAGTCTTTAAAGACACAAACAGGAAGGTTATGAGAGAAAGGGGCTCCCGCGCTTCCTCCTCCTGTTGGGGCCACGCCGGCTCACAGCATCGCCCTGCTCTCTCCCTGGGTCCTCAGACCTTCCTTTTTCATGCTGCTGAACCACTAGCTTCAGGATGACCAGAGGTTTTCTTGATCACAGATGACTTTTTGTGAATCCTGCTTGAACTCCTTTCAGTTTTCACTCTTTTGGGGAACCTGAGCCATGATCCTGGAAAATAGACGAAAAATGTGGGAGAAGCCCGTCGGAAGGCATCCATCGGTGCCCAGGTCACACTGCGGCCTAGGGGTGCCTCCTGAATCACACTAGGCTTTGGAGGAGGGGGCACCACAGTACCCACAGGTGGGCTGCGGGTGATGTGACTTTACTTAAATGAGACAATATAGACACTCAGACCTGCCCAGCAACTGGGAGAGCCGGAGGGCTGGTGGCTGGTGACCCACATCAGATCATCCTAGAAGCCACAGCTCCTCAGCCTCTGTCCTCAGCTACCTGCTCTGTGACAGTAAAGGTTAATAGGGTTTACTTACCAAAGTATGTTTCAGAGCTTAACATAGGAAAATTCAGACAGAGCTGGAAGAAAAAGGACTTGTACTTCATAAGGGCTACATGAATGTTCAGATCTTAAGTATCTGGAAGAATAAGCACCAAAGTTCGCCATGGATGCCCCAGAGGACACATGACAGCTATGGGGGCAGGGTAGGGGGTGAGGCCACTTTCTAGCCTTTCCTTGGGAAGGGTGTTTTCTAGCAGCTCGAGGAGAGGATTTGGTATCACGTCCTGTGATGCCCGAGTCAGCCTCGGGAGTGTGCGAGGCAGGTGCTGGGACTGGTGTTCTATGGCCCACGGCTCTGAAGTTTAGAGATTTTAAGTGACTTTTCTGGAGGCACACGCTGATGACAGATCTGGGGCAGCAAAGTAGTTGGTTCCCTGGGGACACAGACCCTTGAGAACCCCCAAATCCTGGAAATCATGCCCTGGACTCCTGAACCAAGGGCTACCCTCCATCCATCCCCCAATCCTCCTGCCGTAAGGCTGCTGTGGAGACCCAGCGGTCCAAGCACACATGTGGCCCAATCCCGGACCCAGAAGTCCTGATGCTCTGCTAAAGGAAGTCCCTTGAGTGGTCCCGGGATCCAGTCTGTGTGCCTCCTGCCCCATTACCTTCACAGATCAGCCGCCTCCTGAGGGTCTGACCAGGGGCCTGCTTGGCTCCCACGCAGCTCAGACCCCAGGCCTTCCCCCCCACCCCATGGTCCTCTGTAATGAATTAGCTTGGCCCTCAGCGACCAACCCCAGTGAACAGTAATGAGGGCAGTGACCCGGCGGGTGGGTGCTTTAGTGATTTAATGGATGACCTCGCGTTCCCCACTGTCTGCTGACGCTTGAGCACCTATTTGAGCAGACTGGGCCACACCTGGCTCACTGCAGGCAGGGGCTGCACTGGCTCTGAAAACCCTTCTCTACTAACTCTTTGCCCCTCCCTAGACCCCACAGTGGCAGGGGACAGAGTCCCATGTCCTCTTCAAGGAACCCTCCCAAGTCACAGCCTGGAGACCCCACCCCAGGGCCCTTGCTGAGATTCACCAAACCCTCCTTCCCTCTGTCACCAAACGTTCATTCGGCAACCTGATGGCACTGTCCCTGCCCATCACCCTTCCGGCAGCACCCAAACCCCAGGGGGCCTCAAATAATGCTCTAGACCAATTACAGTGGTGGAAATGAAAAAAAATGAAGATATTTTCAGTAAAAGTGAACCAGCCCATATGAACAAACAGTATTCAGAAAATCAATATGAACAGTCCTCTAAAGCAACAATTGAGGTTTCCCATGTCAGGGAGCCCTGTGCGAGAATTTCTAAAGTATTTGGTAGAAATCAGAAAGTGCCCCTGTGCCTGAAGTTTGCTTTGTGTAAAAAAAAATTGTCTTTGGAATTCAAGTAATGTTTACTTTACCTACTGTAGGGACCCCAGATATTTAGCCATGGCTTTATGGTTTCTTGTCAATAGAAACTCATCTGCTCCCAACACCCAGCTGGACATACAGACTGTCTCTAGCACCCCAGCAGCCTCCTGTAGGAGGAGTTAAGAATTAATGCCTAACTTGTGATGTTACAGGGATGAACTCAGCTACTCTGAAAAGAAAATCCACTAACTGTAGTGTATTGTATTAATTGAAAAAATCCATGTATAAGTGAACCTGTGCAGTTCAAACCCATGTTGTTCAACTACATCTGGATGAGACAGACTGTTATTCTATTTAATTCTTTAGTATGCATATGACTTTTGAGTGCAAAAATTATACCAGTCTCAGAGGCTGGGGGTTCAGTTCATGTTGGTATAATACATATGACAAGTACAGCATCTCTATATGCAGAGGGCAAACAATCTATATGGCTGTAAGGCTTCTACATTGTACTTTTGTCAAAGCAAAATTCCCCCCAAAGTTAAAGGAGGCACAGAAGATGTCATTCAAGACAACTGCAATGAGGGAGAAAGGCCAGACTCAGTAGAGCTAAGCTTCACTGAAACAAAAGGCCAAACAACTTCCAAGGGCAGAGGTCAGGTTGATCTATAGGGTGTGTCCAGCCCTTTTAATTATTGGCAGATAAAGATCCTGGCCCTCGTGGAGCCTCTGGTCCAGTGGGACAGACATCCACTGGAAGAGCATCCCCAGCAGAGAATTCCCAGCAAGGAACAGTGGGGAGGAACATGGTAGAGGAGAGAGGACAGACCTACGGGATCACGTGGATCCACCACTTGTTGTGTGGCCCTGGGCAAGTCGCTGCACCTCTCTCTGAGCCTGTGATAAAACGGTGATAACGATGCTGCTTGATGAAGGTGCTCTGTGAATCCAATGAGAGGACAGAAAACGTGCCCTGTGTAGTGTCTGGTATACAGCAAGCACTCATCATTAGCAATTCCTTTTACCTTACAGAGGAAGAGGGACCCAGCCCGTGGCCATCTCTCCCAAAGGGGCCTCAGAAAAGCTCCCCGGGTATGAGGATTTCCCAAAGGAATGCCTGTGTTCCAAAGGACTGACATCAGAGATTTCAACTTTTCAAAAACAAAAGTGGGGTAAAGACGGGGGGTTAGAGGAAACAGGGGTTGGCCAACCCATTTTAACTAAGCCTCACAGCTTCCCTGGAGCCCAACTGGGGCTGGAGGCCTAGAAGCGTTTCCAGTTGGAAGAGGGAGCAGAATTTGAGAGCAGGAGAATGCAAAGAGAACCTGCCACTGTGGGTGTCTCGCCAAACTAGCCAAAGCATTTGGTGAGGCCAAGGACTTCGAGACTAAAGAGAAAAGTCACCATCTGCCCACTGAGAAGGCGATGGAGGTAATGGCTCCAGAACTCATTATGCCCAGGTGCAAATCCAAGGCCAGAGAGTGGGAAGAGGCCTCTGCAAGGACCCCTTATAAAAAGCTGCCTGCACCCCCTGGATTCTCAAAGCTGGAGTAAAACTTTGGTAGTATGTGGCATTTAAACATCAGTCCTGAAAGCTCAGACTGCATTTGTGTTTGAGAGCAGGCCACCCTGTTCTCAGCTTCCTGCTTTTGTATCTATCCATGCTGTTCTTGATTCCCGAATATCTCTCCACTCCACCCCCAATCCCTGCAAGCCTCAGGCACCCTAAAAAAACCCTTATTCAACCTTCAAATGTCCCTGCAAGTCCACAGGTAGGCATTTCTCCTGCGGAGGCAATACACAAAGGCACCAAGATGTTCACTGCAGCGTTGTTTGCAGTGCACAAAACTGCCAACAACCTACAGGTCCACCTAGAGGGACTGGTTCAATAAAGTACAGTGCAAAGAGAAACATAAAGCCATCAGGAAGAATGAGATTGACCTACTGTGTGCAAGGGAAAGAGTTCACCAATATGAGAAAGGAAAAATCAAGGCATAGAACACTATGCATACAGCAAGTCTGAGTCATGCTAAAAGGTACATGCAGATGGCTAGATACAGATATATGCACAGTACAGTCTTACGTGTGCACAGAATATTTCTGAAAGGAGATGCATGAAAACTGTCACCGGTTTGTGGAAGGGGATTGCACGATGGTTGGCAGTGGCAGGAAGACTAATTTTTCTTTAGAGTACTGTTTTGCACTGTTGTAAATGTTTACATTGTCTGTACATTACTTTTTCAACTAAAAATAAATAACCTGCTTCTTTTTAATGTCTGGACATCACCTGTGTAAATTTTCTCCCCATAAAAACGGATCTAATCTCCTCTCTAGTGAGTGGAGACATGGCAGGTATGGCACCACCACCCATGTACCCATTTACGTGGGTGTCACCCCTTCTTGGTGGCTAGGAATGTGGGGGCCACACCTCTGCACCCACTCTGAGAGCCTAGCACCTTGTGGGCTTAAGGAATGAACACCACCATTAAACCCATATATCCACTCCCATCTTCTTAAGTAAGACCTTTTCCTTTTTACCAAGTTACTGTTTATTGAGCCTCAGATACTTCAC